AAAAAATTTCTTATCCCCCCCCCCCCCCCCAAGCCTGATGTTTCAGGCATAGGGTCTCAGGGTTTGTTTTTTTTAGCAGGAAAAATAGGGATTGCAGCTCAATAGCAGTATTACAGCAAACGATTAAGCAATTACATTTTTACTATGCTATCACGTAGTTCTGCCACTGACTCCAAGCTATTAAGGGACTACAAATCTCAGCAATACATTATATAGCACTGCAGAATGGCACCTACTTTAGAGGACTACAAATCCCATCAATACATTATAGAGAATTGCTAAATCGTGTGCACTGCACTACTGCTCATAAACGTGCATAAACTTCCAAACAATGTGTACATTTTCATAAACATAATAATAATCAATATGACGATATTCAATACTAGTCCTTAGTAAATCGGTATAAAGTGCTTTTGTGCAAAATCAATGTGAAAAGTTTAGAGCAATGCTGAATAATACCACCAGCTATAGAGGACTGCAAATCCCAGCAATACATTATACAGCAATGCAGAATAATAGTATATGAATTTGCTACATACTCTGTGCTGCTGCTCTGTTCTGGGGTGCCGGCATGATGTCTCGAGTGGAGGGTCTCAGAAGGGGTGCAGAAGGTCCCAGGAGGGTTGCAAAAGGTCTCGGGAGGGGTGCAGAGGATCTCGGAAGGGGTGCAGAAAGTCTAAGAAGGGGTGTGAAAGGTTGTGGGATGGGAAGACCTGCAGAGGGTCCCAGGAGGGGGAGATGTGCAGGCTGGAGGAAACGCTGTAAACAGGTGCCATGTTGTTCCCCCGAAGGCTGCTGCAAGGTCCCCAAACAAGTGTGAGACCTGAGGCAGCTACTTAAAATTGAAAAATGAAAGGGCCAGTATCAGTTTTTTGTATCAGGGAATTTTAACAAGTATTAATATAAAAAATGCTTACTGGCACTGTGTGCGGCTCTACAGAAGTAGAGTAACACTGCCTATCTCTCCTTCCACATCCAGGGGGCGGTGTGACCAGTGTTATTTTTGACAGCAAATTTTGATTTAGTTTTAGTCTGTCTTTTGACTATAATGCCATTTAGTTTTAGTCACATTTTAGTCATCTGAATTGTTTTAGTCGACTAAATATCATAGGATTTTAGTCTGCTAAATCTACAGTAGATTTAGTCTACTAAAATCTAGTCGGTTTAGTTAGAGTAATTTTAGAATCTCTCCAGAATTCCCAATCTCATTATATTCTCCTAAAGTAAACATCTGTTAACCTGGTATTAATTGTGGTATTAAGAAGGGATGCATTGAAATTTCGTCCATGGAAACATATCAGCCAAAAAGGTACTTTGGGCAAAATGCCAAAAGTACCATCTTTCGGCGAAATTGTGGTGCATCCATGATTTCTCTCCTCCTTGCTATGCACTATTCTGTCTGCTCTGACACAGAGCAGCATTCAGTGGGGAGGAGAGAAAATGCTAGGAGGCGCTGTGAGCGTCGTGTCACAGGAGGCCTCCTGTGACAGATCAGGATGAAGAGCGTTGTGGGGGAGGAGACAGCCATGAGCTGTCAATGAAGACTGAGCTTTCATCCAGCACTGCCAGCTCAGCCTCCTGTATGTCAGGATGGAGAGCGGTTATAAGCAGTCAGCGATCCGCTGATCGCTAACTGCTTCTAAATAATTCAGGACATAGTATGTTTGCTGTCTCCCCAATTATGAATGAACAGGAAGTTCCCTATATCACTTCCTTTTCATTTAAGATTGTGGACATGGTAAACATACTATCACACAAGTTATGAATGAACAGGAGCACTCAGTATGAAACCTTCTGTTCATTCATAACAGGCTGCAGAAAAAGAGATTGCGGACTCTGTGTCTCTCTCTTTTTCTATTTTAAAAGGGAAAAATCAGGAGTCTGTTTAGACACCTGATTTTTCCCAGAGCCCCCAACACTAAAGTAAAGAAATACAAATATTTATTTAAAAAATAAATAAAGATAAAACATAAAAATATAGAAAGTTTAGAAAAAAATAAAAATTATTTATTTTTAAAAAACTAAAAGATTAAAAAAAAAAAA